AACATGTAACAAAGTGGTAGGTAGGTGTTAAGGAAGGGAGGGGGGGGGGTCGTACCGAGACCTTCTTTTAGGAGGGGCGGTCGTACTGACACCACCATTTCACAAATCACGATGCTGCACCTTGCTTCCCCAAACTCACTGTCTTCGTCTTCCGGCAAAGGCGTGGTTGTACGCACCCGTGCTCGTGTTTTAACCGTGCTGACCTCTTCCAACTCTTCTTCTTTCTCTGAACTGATTCATATGCTTTTTTATTTAGGAACACATATATCCGCTTGAAAATACCGCCAGATTCCTGTGACTCAGGTCGTTCAATAATTGCTTCCACCACTCCTCTATCAGCAGTTCCCCGTCTACTGAACGATGGCGATTCCTTAGTAGACGGAGCTGAAAAACCAAGATTGTGAAGTAGAAGTTGTTCAACATTCAGAGTCTTTACTGTTGTTTTTCATAAGCAGTTTCATATGTTTTACTGGTTGTGTTTTATATATTCTAGTGGCCATGTGTCACAGTGAACATAGTTTTGTTGAAGGTGAAGCTATAAAAGAATAAATTTTCAGCAGTTCATCAATCGCTCTTCGAGATGCAGCGCGATCCCTACTTCTATTCAGAATGGTAGTTACTCAGTGAATGCGCTACGGCCCTATACAATGAATCGCGGGAGCCAGCCAATGTACAGGGGGGGGGGCAAAAAAGACACTTCGCCCGAGACGCATATCGATAAAGAATAGCAATAGCAGCACAGAGAAGGCGTGGATACGAGTACCAGAATGGAAGATACCCAAGATGTTCCTCGATAAGCAGGAGCAGGCTCTCGTCCATCACCTTCATGTACACCAAAATATGAAGCCATCTCCAATCGCAGCCTGACTGGAGAAGGCCTATGGAATTCACGTCACCTCCAAACAGCTGCGAAACTTCTTGTATGGAGTCACCTGGACAGCTACCTGGGGCCAGCACTCTTGATCTGGAAGACCTCCAACATCAGCATCAGCGTCTTGGCGACTGCGGTGAAGTTCCTGAGAATAGGAAGACCGATATTGTCTTCGTGGACCCCGGACTGAAGTGAACGCTGACTGTTACATCGAGCAACTCGAGGAGAATATCCTGCCTCTATGTCGTCGCCCGTACCATATTGGAAATTTAGTACTGCTACATGCTACATACAGGATTGGTTGCCAGCACACGGGATCGAAGGGCGTGGGAACAACTCTCGCCTACTTGGAATCAAATGGCGTTGTGAACCTGAAGAAGATAAAATATCCAAGTGCGTCACCTGACCTAAACCCCCTCAGGATTCGGGAGGAGTTGAGCAGGGTAGTCTACAGTGGCGTAGAAATCAACTAGTTCGCCGAGCTCAGACACCATATCACGATCGCGTGGCAGAATCTTTTGATGGCATTTCTCCAGAAGGCTTTGGCGAAGTATCGTGATAGTGTACAATGTGTTGTTGAATTTGATGGTGGGAGTGTCCAATCAAAAGGTTAATAAAGCGTAACATATTTGAAAGTCAAGGAAAAAAGTGTCTTTTTAGGCCCCACTGTATAGGTAGGTGTTTTTGGCCCCACCGAACTAATATGTTGGCAGTTTGCCGGTCCCGGAAAAAAGAAGGCTTTTTTCTGGGTGGTTGGCTGGGCGGAAGCTGACTCGATACTTCACGTCCGGACAGCGCTTGAAATGCGGGCCACATTCCACCAAATCACCAACGCACCAGTAATCTGTAATCTGATCATGATAATAAAAGGTAACTGGATAAATGATAAATAGGAGGTACTCAAACAAAACTCATTTATAAACAATAATAAGCTCTGGTTCATAGCTCTCGACTGCGGCCGACGACGCTCCACCGCTAATCGTTGGACCGCCGCAACTGCTAATTCAATCAATTTCAAAATGTATCTCCCTTGAACCGTAGCACGATTCAAAGACCGGCAATGGAGCACCGTTGGTAGCAGTCTCACATCGAGTGACTGAATTATTCAAATCACGAAGAACGCGCCTCAAGAGTTCCAACAGGTGAACGGTAGGTAATCGGAACAACCCGTATCCTGAATAATTCCGGAAAAAAACGTGGGTAAAGGTAAACGACTGATTTCTTGTTCAGCATGGAAGTAACAGTGTGGCATGGATCCAGAGTTATAATTCCGAGTCTGTAGCGCACCCTAGCCAGCCTAGTCATTGGTCATCTTGGAATAAAATATCTTATTTTAAGAGGCAACTACATTCACGTCATATAGAAGCTCACATAGAAGTTTAATGAGAGTATTGGGTGGCGCAGGACAACTGAGCTTAACAAAACCAAACATCCGTAAAAGACATACTCAAGGTCAATTACCGTAGCCTTTATTTTCTGAACAACTCCGTATTTATTGACTTACAAGCGCTTTCGACGGCTTCGCTGTCGGTTTTGTTTATCCAGCAGCAGTAATCCTGAAATTGCGGAACTGGTCATGGAGAACAATCACTAACCATAAGGCAAGAAACACAGGTGAAGCGGATACAAGAAAACAAGAATAGAACTGAAAATCAGTTACACCAATAATTTTGAAAAAAAATTGTAGGAATAGAATGTGGTGGTACCATACTGAACTAAAGCTTTTCAGGGAGTTCCTCGAAAACAGATGATTGAAGCTTTTATCTATTAGGTGATCATTAAAAGTAGAAAAAGCAACATCTTTGTTCTTACCGGCTTTTTCATTTTTTTACATAACTATCTTAATCTGCAGATGCAGAAGTGAACACAGTTCAAGCAATCAGAAGAAAGGTTACCTGAAAACCAGGTACAAGTACTGGAAATCGTTCACATGCGGTTCCTCCTGGACAAGTAGATTCATTATAATTCCCAATTTGCTGATCGCATTGTTGCAGATCTTCCGATATAGGGTGGATATAAACGAGATTTCCTAGAACGTTAAACTTTGAGATAGCACTTCGAGAAAATCCAGCAAAATTAAGGAATTTAGCAGCAGGACAAACCAGATGGACAAGTGACTTCCAATCCAGCATCCGCAAAAATTTGCATGAAGAAACCAGCTTCTGTGATAGTAGGCAGTAGCAAAAGCATTAACTGAAGCCGAGTCACCATCGTCAGTACTTCTGTGCAGGTCAATAGATAGTGCTGCAGGAAACTCCAGAGCTAACACTGACTCCGAAGAGGTGAAAATATCTTTGGTGAGAAAAGAATTATCCGGAAACCCGGCTTGGCAACCTGAAGGATATTCCGGAGAATTTTCCCGTGGTGAAACACCGCCCAGAGCCCCTTTGTTTCCTTGACATCTAGTCCGACTCAAACGCACACACAACGAAATGTCAACGGCTACCGACGATAATAGCAAACTAGAACGCAGGTCATCGATGAAGGCCAGAAATTGCATAGAAGGAGGGCCACAATGCCGAAATAAAGAGTCTTCTGCTTATGTGAAGACAAGATGGATAATCAAATGTGGCCTTTTAAGGATTTTCAGATAATTCCTTTAACCATGAATTTCATGTCACAAATCTTGTGTGCAAAGAACTAATTTGCAGCTGGGAGCCTATCTTTTTCATGCCTCTCCCAAATGATTTCGAATGGCAATGAAAGCAGAAATTCACTGAAGATGAGGCCATTTACAGATGAGAAGAATTTATTTCAATTACTGAACATTCTTTCGAGGGAGGACTATACTTCAACGCCACTGCGCACTCAGACATTTCAGCACTGTTTACCTTTTTCTGCCACAATCATCCAAAATCAAGTTAGTTTTTCACCGATGTTTTTTTCCGAGGGCAGACAGGTACCACTCACTGTGGTAGTGTGACCTCTTGAATATCACCTTCGCTGGGCCCGAAACGCACTGACCCCACACCACTATCGCCGACACCAAAATATCCAAGATCACCAAGTTCGCCAAAAACTTGTTCCCAGAGGTAGTTTGACCCCCTACACACAAATATCGCATTCGTTTAGTGCATACCGCTCGACGCCCATGTAACGAGCTACTCTTCACATGTTTGCTTCGACTCCGGTGGGTGTCATCACTCCGTCGTTCATATCGAGCGGCTCACATTTTGGTTGCCTGTGATGAACATCCTTTCCTTCACTAAAGCTCAGCCTCAGAAGAGAAAGGGGTCACTCTCGCGGTGGAATAATGCACGAGCAGAGGCTGCGCTGTCAGAGTACCCCATTTACTCCATCCTTAACTTGCTTAAAGGCAGCGCCCGCATTCATTTGATATTCCTACGCCCTCTTTAGATATCGTAGCTTTGTCGACAAGGGTGGAGGATGTACTAATTTCGCAGCTCAAAAATACGAGAGGATGGCGCCACCCGCTTGTGAAGAGGATGCCGCCCCGCCCACCTGGCTGCCATAACTGCTTTGGCTTAGCCTTTAAAGGCTGAGCCCGCTTTCAAGAATAATGAGTTATAGAGCTCACATAATACGTGATCGAAAAATGTAGAAAAAAAGCAGAAAAAACCATGGAAAATGCACTACATAGAGTCCTATGCTGGCCAGGTGGGGCAGGGCGGCCGACTCTTCACAACGAAGGGCGCTATCCTTTCGTCTTTTTGAGATGCAAACTAGTATATAGCTCAATCGCTTCATAGGGGGCGCTATTTATATCCACAGAGAGGGGGCGGGAACATCAAATGAACGTGGGCGCTGCCTTTAACACCTCATACAGATGTGATAATCGTATGTAAGAGGTATCACTCTGACGCTGATAACGGCACCACTTTTGCAATTTTGCAAGGCACGTCTTTGCCTCTGCACACTCTTAACCACTCGGCTATCTCTCTCACCGGGGGATGATCTCGGCACATTGCAGGGGTCCATGTTCCCTCAAACATGTTACGAACTTTCTCAATCTAGTATAATCATTCAAAGCCATGGTTAACATGGCTTTGAATGATTATACTAGATTGAGAAAGTGGAAGATCACTTTTGACCACGAAGCATTGAATTTTGTGAAAAAGAACACAAATGAGCAAAAGCGAGGCACTCCGCTAGGGACCGGGAAAAAGTGGATTAAGGTCAGCAAAGGGTCGCCGATTGAGAAATGTGGGGCATATGTTGTGGGCGGAGCCTGCCCGAGGTGGGGGGAGAAGGACAAAAATTCTGTGAAACACAGAGTGGATGTGGATGGTCAGGAGGGGTGCAATTGTTTGATTCGGGTAGCACAGGCCGTTGTAGGTGGAGCGTCATGGCAGGCGGCGTATGCCAAAACGCAAGAAATATAGAATGCTTCCATAACACACTCAGGCACCGGCCAAAAACGAGGCAAAAATTTGGCAGAGAGATTCCGCATAGGTTCGAGCGGGAATTTACGCGTCCATTCTGTGGCGGAACTGATGTTGATGTTGTGGGCGGGCGCGAATGTCAAAAATCACGTAAAACAGTTTTGCAGAGCCAGTATAAGGCACCAGAAGACAGGTGTGGCATGGAGAGGTCCACAAGGGGTCAGCGGACGAAGTGGAGGAGACATCCCAAAAATGGGCGGGCTTGCTTTCGAGATGGGCAGGCTCCTGCTGAAAAATTTCGTGGTTCGCTACTTGAACCAGGGAGGTCGTTCAGGACGTGGCGCGCTTTTTGAAAACGGTTTTTTGCATTGTGTAGGGGCACGTTCATGGACTACCAAACTGACGTTCATTTTTCCTAAATGGCTCTTTGAATACCAAAAAAGGAGTGAAGAAGAAATGTAAGGAAACGGGTTGGTTTTGAGCTTCTATGGGCTCCAAATCACTTCCAACTTTGACCAGTGGCTGAGTAGTGGGTCCTTATAAAGGCACTATAGGTATCGAGGAGGAAAGTAGTCGCAAATGGGGTCTTATTTGCGGCACGTGATTGACACGCCTCTGGGCGGCTTGTCGGGATGGTTTCTTCAATGATCGGAGCGGTGTTCAGCTACAACGATCGGATGGCCTAGTGGATAGCGTGGAGGATTCTCAATCGGATGGTAAGGGTGGGTGTTGATGGTTCGACTCCCCTCGGCGTGCCAGTTTTGCATTTTTTTTTAGTTTCGCTACCCTCGCCTCCATAAATGTCTCTGCATGAGGATAACATGGATATTTGCCATTTATGGGCAAATTCTTACCTGTAGGATCCGCGACTCGGTATTATAACACTATTACAATTTTCTCCTACAATTAGGCAAGGCTGCTGCCGAAAACTGATTTTTACGTGTAAGTAAGTGATGAGATTATCAATTTGGTACTTAATTTTAGCTGTGGTGCCTATTTGACTCCGATTTGCATCCACATCACTCTCCTACGGAATTCACTATGGAAATCCATACAAGGGACGTTTCGCGCTATCCTGCCGTCAGATTGTGTCAGCGCCAGAAATAAGTGTCAGAATCGTGTTCAGGACCATCAATAACCCCTATAGACGAAGAATCGCTCAAAAAATTTTTTCGACCTTTTTGGGTGTGTGTATTGGATTGTGTACACCGAGCCTCTCCACTGAAATCCTATCGCCTGATGGCTATTTAAACCTTCCCATTTACTGATTAGTAAACATAAAACTGACAACAAGATGCACCACTGGGAAAAGAAAAATCCAGACATCCCTCCAGGTGCATTTGGAATTTTGGAAACTTAAACGACTCTGTTCTGCGGCTGGAGGAGAATGACACCTTCGTCGGTGAGCACCCGCTAGGGGTCGACAAAGGTCCACGATGGTTGTTCACGTATTCCACATGCATCCAGACTTATAACTGCATGGAAGGACCTTTGGTGCAGCGAATTCGCGATGCGGCTGCTCGGCGGCGCGCTACGTCATCTTTACGTCACCGCCCTTGGCAAGGTGTGGGACTTCGGTCATAATCGTCGACCAAATGGGCCGCCTTAACCAAACGGTCGGAAAATTTTTTGAGCGATTCTTCGTCTATAGGGGTTATTGATGGTCCTGAACACGATTCTGACACTTATTTCTGGCGCTGACGCAATCTGACGGCAGGATAGCGCGAAACGTCCCTTGTATGGATTTCCATAGTGAATTCCGTAGGAGAGTGATGTGGATGCAAATCGGAGTCAAATGGCACCACAGCTAAATAAAAATTAAGTTACCAACAATTTGCTAATCTCATCAGCTTACTTACACAGTAAAGAAGGCACGTTTCCGCAGCAAACTTGCCTAATCGTAAAGGCGAAAGTTGTACAGTAGTGTCTATAATTAAACTCGCGGATCCTACAGGTAAGAATTTGCCCATAAATGGCAAATATCCATGTTATCCTCATGCAGAGACATTTATGGAGGCGAGGGTAGCGAAACTAAAAAAATGCAAAAATTGGCACGCCGAGGGGAGTCGAACCATCAACACCCACCCTTACCATCCGATTGAGAATCCTCCACGCTATCCACTAGGCCATCCGATCGTTGTAGCTGAACACCGCTCCCATCATTGAAGAAACCATCCCGACAAGCCGCCCAGAGGCGTTCGCTGTCAATCACGTGCCGCAAATAAGACCCCATTTGCGACTACTTTCCTCCTCGATACCTATAGTGCCTTTATAAGGACCCACTACTCAGCCACTGGTCAAAGTTGGAAGTGATTTGGAGCCCATAGAGGCTCAAAACCAACCCGTTTCCATACATTTCTTCTTCACTCCTTTTTTGGTATTCAAAGAGCCATTTAGGAAAAATGAACGTCAGTTTGGTAGTCCATGAACGTGCCCCTACACAATGCAAAAAACCGTTTTCAAAAAGCGCGCCACGTCCTGAACGACCTCCCTGGTAAGGTCAAGCTTGGATCAGGAAAAACTTTTGGTGAAGAGAAACATATGGCGAGAGTTCAGCATGTCTGTGGTGTGTTGAGACCCGCCCACAGTGGGTGGAGCGTGTTCTCAAGCACGGGGTCCCTATTTTCACTGCGTTTTGGAGCATGGAGATGGCAACACTTTGGGCCCTTTGTACAGCCAGGTAAATTTCATACCAAGTCGCTTTCGTGACTGAGCGGCGCGCCCGGTCCGGCGCGAACTTCCTTTTCTAATAGGGCCAGGCTTTTGCTTACTTCGTCGCGCCCACCTGCTTGCATATGTTTGAATGCTCAACTAATACCCGGTTTCTCTCTCATCTGCGCATTTGAT